AAAATGATGAATGAAGTGGTAAAAGGAAACTTCCATTTCTTTAGGGCTACACATAGACATGGATTTGTTTGTGTGTGAGTGTGTGTGTATGTGCATATTAGGACAGTAGTGCTGGGTAATATATTCAACCAAAAATCATGTATTTGTCTCTACTGTGTACATGGAGCTATGTGCACAGCGGGAGCTTAATCTAAAATCATTTTATGGTGTGTTACCACTTTGCATTGGCATCCTTCAGTCTCCATAGTCTTTTGAGACTGAAGGATTCCAAGACCACTTTGCCTTATTGACAGAGTGATTGCAGTAATAGCACACTCTCTGTACTCATATTAAGACAGAAGTCAGAATTGCCTTAGTTATCATGCATAAAATGATTTTAGATTAAGCTCCCGCTGTGCACATAGCTCCATGTACACAAATACATAGAGACAAATACATGATTTTTGGTTGAATATATTACCCAGCACTACTGTCCTAATATGCACATACACACACACTCACACACAAACAAATCCATGTCTATGTGTAGCCCTAAAGAAATGGAAGTTTCCTTTTACCACTTCATTCATCATTTTGAGTATAAGTCATATTTTCCACAAAAATGTGTCAGTAGTGATGATGTTTAAGGAGCATGCCTACCTTTAAACTAAGTACTATATTAGATGATGAAGATGATGCAGAAGAAGATGATGATGATTATTAAATAGATTTACCTTGAATGGCAACGGCTCCTCGGTAAGTGGGCTAACAGGAAGTGAGTTGGTACTGGTGGCAGGACTCATATCTGAGCTCTAAGGTAAAATAAAATAAAAAAATCCAGATTTAGCCTAGGACATATTATCATTGTTATACATTCAGTAAGTCAATCCATCAGTCAGTCAATCATTTATTTCTATGGCTACCCACTCATCAAGGACCCACCAGCCAAGGGTTAAAAACTTTGCAGTATCAAAATAAGATAATACATGGGGGAAAATACAGAACTTGTGTCATTACAAAATATACTATCCTCTCCCGGTGCCGGGGAAAAGAGCCAGACCTTTAAATCATTCTTAGTCTGGTAGCACTGAAATCTTGAGGATACAGTTCCTTAGGGCACAGGTTGCAACAGAAGCCATACTTCCTGCATCCCATGAAACTTTAACCTCTGTTTAATGTTGCCCGTCCAGAACATGATACTGTCAGAGATTGAAAAAATGGGCAGAGATCACTGGAAGTTATTTCTTCTGTTGCAAAACATCCCAACAATATACGGGAAATGGTACTACAAAAAAAAACAACACATGTGTCTTTTACAGCTTCATAGGTAATGACCAGCACCGTACATTGCATCTGGAAATTTGCTGGTAATTATGACAGTCCACACATAGAAACGTCCCATAAATGTAACATGGTCTGCATGTACAGCTCTACATGTTTTGTCACATTCTGGACCAGTTCAGCTTCTGAATATTTTTTCAAGGGTAGAGAGTCTTGGCAGTAATGCAGATGAGAAATGTCCAAGGCATAGGTTAATAAATAAGGCCCCCAAGCCACAAACCGATGCAATTATCATACAAAATGATTTTGTACAAAGGTCCTCCTATCCATTGCTGTCACCAGCTCTTCAAGAAGGAGCTGAGAGTTGAGGTGGATCCCCAGACTGCACACTATCTCCATCTATGGAAGAATAACCCCAGTCAGAACTAATTATGGGGAACTGTTGTTCTTCCTGGGTAAACTAGAGAGGAAACGCAGCTAGCTGAACCAAATCTACTTTATTGTATGGCGCCATTAACAGAATCTTGAAAATCTGAAAGCACAATTCTCCCTCCCTCCCGTTTTAATTGCTCGCTCCAAAGTGCAAAGTTCCAGAAACAAATTATTACTAAAATTTAATAAAAGCAATTTAAAATAGAATTCAAAATGAAATTGGAATAAAATACAATTTAAAATGAAACTGGAATAAAATACGATTTAAAAAGAGCCGAGGTGGCGCAGTGGTTAGGGTGCAGTACTGAAGGCCACTACAGCTGACTATT